ATTAAGATCACTTTTTACAAATTATCTGTTTAGTCTTAACAAAGCAAAAAGAAGTGTTTATGTCACTTTCAAAAGGTAAGATAAATTTAGTAAATGCATTGTAAACTCACTTTTGCTTTAGCACTCTGTGATCAATTAGTCCTCCTTCATTTTCAGTTGAGCACAGATATTTTTTCTGCTCCATAGGACCAGTAGAATGTAACATTTGTCTGTCAGTAGCCCTGAAAGAAAAAAAAAAAAAGAGAAAAAAAGGAGGTGAAAAAAAAAAGGAAAGAAAAAAAACATTTTCACTGTCAAGTTTTGTGCCGCATATAGAAGAGAGGTATTTTAGGGTTCCAGAATACCAGTGGCAGAAATAGAAAAGGAGAAAAATTAACATATTAAACAGTCATGATTTTATGTGATGCTGATGTCTCTTAATCAATCTCTCATTTGATAATTGTATCAAACTCTGACAAATTAAAGGGAAAATTGTAAATAATACTGCCTAGCGATATTCTAATTATTACACAGTTACAAACCCCAAGAAAATAAACCTTCTCAGCATTGCAGGATAACTGCCATCTTCATAGCCTGGCATGTCCTAATCTCGGGAAATAACTATGCAAGGATGGGAGGAGATTTAGAGTATGGTAAGGTGGGTTCTATTAAACTAGAACCCTGAACATGCATTTTTTCTGAGGGTTAAGTCCATCTTGAACCTTTGGGTTCAAGAACGCTGATTCACTTCACTCTACCAACAGGCTCTCCAGCTTCTCACTGAATCAATTAGGAAACAGCACAAAAATGTTTTTAATCAGGCCACTAAGGTGACATTATCAGAATTTTCACTATTGCAAGCACTGGTGCTGAAGCCTTCTCCAGACTTGCTAGAACGAGGCTTAGGGAAATGCAAACGCACATTGAAGAACTATGCCTCCACCAAGTTATGACACCTGGAAGTCTTTTTTGGGGATAGTACGGCTTCCTTTCTGTACCCCATTTCTTCAGAGCCTCTGAACTGCAAAGGTGCTTTATAAACTGTTCCAGCCTCGGCTATACTCACACAGGAAAGGCTATCATTGGAAGCAACATTAACATTTGCCAAGTTTATAAGGGTAGTTTCCCCTTTTCATGAATCAATACATCTCTTTTTTCAGCTATCCAGTTAAAGCAGAAAAATCCATCGTGTTCTTTATGTGACTCCTAGAAACAATCAATCTTGGAATTGGAAAGCATCTTGATATTTACCTGGTAAACCTCTGTGTGAGCTCCTCATATGCACATGAACACAGTTTCTATTACATGACGCAGAATGCTTCCACCTTACCAGTGACAGACACAAAATGCTATTTCCATGTCCTAATCCAGATGGCTGGAGACCTAAGTCTCATTCCATGTTTCTTCAAAAGTCCATTACTTCCACACAGAGGGCGTTCACCTACCATACTCAAAACTCCATGTCCAACCAACAATTTCATTTCTGTTCCTAGCAGAGGGGTGAGCTGAGCACGATTCACACGCAGTTAGAAGGTGTGCTAAGGACACCAGGATAAAGAAGTGGACAGCCAGGAGCACACCAAGCGCTGGGGATAGCATTTGCATGAGGAATACAATAGGGAAATACCACTGGCAGCTCTTGGAAGCTCCACAGCAGTTTCAGCAGAACCAGAAGGACACTGCTATGGTGCTGCTTTGTCCTCTGTCCCTTTGGCTGAGCAACACCTTCTCCACCCTGGCATAAGTAATGGCAGGATGAGCTGGTTATGGGAAACGGCCTGCCTGAGAAATCGTTCTGCAAAGCAGAAAAGGTGGTTGGTTTTCAGCTGGGCTCAAGCACCGCAGGAGAAGGTCTAGGAACACGCAGACTCAGTTTTCACACTTGTCCCCTGCCACTGTGGGGCCGCACACCCAGCTATGGACGCTACTAACTGTGAACCTTAGTGCGGTGACTGCTCACATGGCCAAGACTGCAATCCAGCCTAACATCACTGAGCAACAAAGGAAACATGAGTTCACATATATTGTGGATCTATGACTTTTTTGTTTTGCCATGTACTCTGTTCCTCTGTATCAAAGCAACTTAAAAAAAAAAATAAATTATTACATTACTTCAAAACAGTGTCTCGTACACTTTATTCTAGTCATAAGTCCTTGAATTAGGTCAAAAGAAATTATTCTTACAGGGGTTTTTTTCCAAGATGTATCGAACAGACAAAATCATTTCAAACTACATCACTAAGACAAGCACTCCAGAGTTGAGAACTGAGTTACAGCTACTTGCATATGAGGATACAGCTTTTAGTTTTATAATGAAATACTATTTTTACTGTAGGAGCTTTTTCATCATTCTGTAGTCCAAAAAGTGGATTCGTTGCCCAGTGTGCAATAAGCCAATTGTCACACACACGCAGGAGAGATATTGCTTTTTATTCAGGCCCGGGTACTCAGCGGATTTCCACAAATCAAGAAATCAAGCACACCTAGTGCCAGTGCTCTTGTCATATTTATACACAAACGTTACAAGGTAGGATGCTCCCAGTTACAATGACTGGGTCAGGTTTCTTCGCCTAGCATGTAAACTAGAACCCGTGCTCAGTTCTTGGTCCGTCTTTATCTTTTGAATAGGTGGTATAATTGGGGTAGGGGGCTCATGGGTCGCAGATCCTCCTGCCAGAATTGCCTTTCCCCTAGTTTCCCAATACTTTTGGTAATTCCAAACGGTTCCTTAGGGTCTGCTGATCAACTAACAATTCATCAGTTACACTTCTACCTCTCCTTAGGGACTGCTGATCAACTAACAATTCATCAGTTACGCTTCTACCTCTTGACAATCACTCCTTAATTAATACATTGTTTGTATAGACATCAACTAACACAGGGGCAGGACCACACAATAGCTGTCCTTAGCAGTACCTAGCAACTATCTGTAACATCCTTAACTACAAAGTCATGATTAACTTTTAAATTCGATACAAGATATCAACTGCTGATCAACTAACAATTCATCAGTTACGCTTCTACCTCTTGACAATCACTCCTTAATTAATACATTGTTTGTATAGACATCAACTAACACAGGGGCAGGACCACACAATAGCTGTCCTTAGCAGTACCTAGCAACTATCTGTAACATCCTTAACTACAAAGTCATGATTAACTTTTAAATTCGATACAAGATATCAATTCTATACCCCAAAGTGCATGAAATATCTTGATTTTTTACTCAATCTAAAATATATGACTGAATGCATTCCTTAAACATGCTTGAGTTTTATTCTGTGGTTCTTGACTCTGACACAGAAAACATTTCAGAAACAGCAGGTTATTCACCTATCTTACCTATAAATAGAGGAATACCAGCATCTTATTTTCCAGGCAAGAAGACTGGGTAGGGAAAAAGGTGAATTATATTCTTTAATATTTGAGCTTCCCAGCGTTTGATTTTCTGGAGTCTGCAGAACTTCACAGAAAAGCTGTGCCCTCACACTACTGTGTGCTCTTTGTGAGACTGTAAGGCCTGATTTGCAGGACTGGAGAAGTACACAGGGAACAGTCACACCCAAGACCCAGGCTTGCCAAACCTCCTTGACAAAGTCAAAGACGAAATCGAAATATTCAAAGCAGCATTCTAACTGCCCTAAGCACAAGGATGTTTCCTTCCGAACCCCCCTGCTAAAATCACTATGTATCTGCCACACTTTGGATGAAGTACAGGGCCCACATACAGTGGTCGTCTTCACAGCAGACACCTGCTCTACCACCTGCAAAGAGGGAGCTTCCTATAAATCAAGTGAGGCAGGACCCTCGTGCAGAGAACCGAGACTGGCTGTGATTGCATACTTCAGGTCTACGATAAATCATACATGTGCCGATGTTGTCCTCTTCCTGCACTTCCCCTCCCCCTTCCCCGCTTCCCTCCAATGATGCAGGACCATTTCCCCAAGGGATTTAATAAATTCTTCCACAAAGACAACAGGCTATATCTTAGTTCTGCTCACAAGTGCAAATTGGTTGGAAATAATCCAATCATCACCATTTACCATGCTTTGTTTTGCACTGTGGAATCATCTCAGAGTACATAACCCGGACTTCTTTTGGATGAAGGCAGATGCTACAGAGAATACTCTACAGATCTACTTCTACTGGGCTACTACTGTGTACTACTGCAGGCTTAGTGCTAGAGTCTTCTCCTTCGAAAAAGTGCATTTTGCATCCATGGCAAGCCATTCTCTACTGTCAGGATTCTTGGGCTTAGACGAGACTACTGAGAGCTCAGGATGTCTCTTCTCAGCCAAGACATCCAGAAAAAGTAATCCTGCAAGACTTACAAGACATCAGAACGTGCGGGGAACCAAACCAACCAACCCACCCACCCCCAAACCCCCAACCAACTCACACCAAAACACCCAACCAAAAAATCCCATAATCAACCTCTCCTCCCCGCCCAGCTCAAGAAACCCCAAACAAACAGAAGAAGAAACTCTGCTCAACCAGGAGCCAGAGTATGCTCAGCAAAGACACTCTCTGTGGCATTTGTTTTTTAAAAACCTATCTAGTTCCACACAGTGGGATTATAAAATGCCCACATCTAGATCAAATTCAGAGCTTCTTTAGAGAATGAATTTAAATACACCTGTGACACAAACACTATCTCTGGCTACATCATTATTTTACTCCAAGACTTGCAAACTTTTTAAAGTGCTTCAAAAGCTTAATATCACAAATACAGACAAATTTAGCTATAGTGAAAGTTTGACAATGCTTCATGCAAATGCAGACTAGGTCCTAGAACTGAAAATGATGAGCAGTTTAAATTAATTAATGGTGTTGTTCAGGCCCCGTTTAAAACCACAAGATAATAACCTTATTTTGCATTTCACATGTTGTTAGAGATATTAAAAGTATAAAAATCAGTTACAACTTACAGCTGAAGAGATAGTAAATGGCAGTTTTAAAATGCTGTGAAAAGAATACAACTATACGCAGACTGATATTTTCTGTGCCATGTACAAACTCACCCACTGATTACTTCTGGATATTTTGGAGAAGCTGTTTCACAGCAGTATGTAAGGGATTCTAGCCCACTTTTTTGTTGCTGGTATTTATTGATTAGGTCCATCAGCACTGCCTGGTGCCCAATCTTCTTCACCAGCTGCTGTACCATACGATCATTAAGAGCCAAAAGAGCTGCTCCACTTACTTCTTCTTCTGCAGATTGAAGGAGATTAAAAAATTACTGTAAAATAACTTTATAGTTACAGTAGCATTCTATAAGCCTAAAAAACATTATGATGGAGGACGGGTCAAAGGCAACGATGCTTTCTGCTGCTGCTGATCTTCAACTGCTAGAAAGATGTTGCTTTAGCTACTGTCCTTTCCCAAGCAGTGCCAGGAGCCCTAGTCACTGGCCAGATACCTTCCTCTGACAAAAAGCCAAGTCTGAAACATATAGAAGCAGTGAGCTGACTATTTTAATACTTTTAATCAGGCCTTGCTTAGACCACAGCAGACTGTTGCTTTGTTAATGAAAGAAAGCAAACTTTTTAAGAAAGCACACAACAAATAGCCTGTTCACCTAACCATTTCTCATGCACTCTTTTGTAGAGTGTTTATATACTCAGACCATAAAACATTTATAGGCTACAGTTGCATTATTTCAAAAGATTTATACAATATAAAATAGGCCCTGTCAACCCTTTTAAACTGCCAGCTCTGATTCAAGGTGCATCTATTTATTCACAGGCTTAATCTCATCCCCCAACATTTCTCAGAGACTTGATAATAAATCTGCACACTTATTTTGATTTATCAGATCCACAGCAGTTCTCACCCTAATAAATTTCTATACGAGTCTGAAGTTAGCATATACATACATGTCCCAAAACAAGGTAGGCAGTGCCAATTAAAGGCATAGAAAGGTACACTAAACAAACCCCACACAAACAACAAAAATGCTTACCACGAAACTTAGGAACTAGTTCTCCTAAATTACTCTGTCTCAACCAGTTGCAGACTTGATCAACCGACCAATTTTCCATCTTCAGGTACTCAAATGCTAAATTTCACCATGAAATGAAAAGAGGATTATTTTTATGCTGAGCTCTACACTGAATTCTAACATTTCATAGGAAAAAAATGCACTTAGCAAATAACATTACACTTACATGCTCCGAATAAAAATAGTGCAAAATAATCCAACTAATGCCTGTTGCAAGTAGCAACCTCCTTAAATCCCTTTCTTCACCTCCTCTCCCCTCCCTGCTTTCCCTCTGCTCTAAGAGGCAGCCTCATTCCTTATAAAACACGACCTGCTCCACTACCATTAACGCCCAGGTTTCCACACGGAGAGGAAAAAAGGTGTGAAATTCACCACCACCACGCTCATCAGGAAATGGCTGACATTTTACAGAAAGAAGAAAAAAATCCAACAAAACAAACCAAAAAACCACCACACCATCAGAGAAGAGCCTGTCTACTATATGCTTATAGTAAATCAAGCACCTTAACCCTCTCTGCACCACCACGCAGGTACTCAAGCAAGTCCTTAACCCTCAGTTACCAACAGCCGGGGCAATAAAGCTGCCGGAAAAGAGAGGGGAGGGAACTACTGCTGCTCGCTAGTCCCTTCCTTGAGGCTCCGGCGCTCCCCGGGAAGACGCTGCGGGCGCCCAGGG